CTTCATCAGCACCCCCACAACAAGTTCCCGTGTCTGTGAACTGCTCCATCTGTTGACCTTGCATTTCATGATCTGCCTCAAACGCATATCTTGGCAGCCTCCAGTTTGATACCACAAATTAGCTACACCGATAAATGCACTCGCGCAGAAGTTGCATCACGCTCTTGAACCCGTTTCTCATTTTTGTCGCTTTTGCAGCATCTCATTGGGATGTTATGTGATAAGGGCGGCGCATGGTAGCAGAGGACAACGACACATATTTTTAAATCCTTGTTTTCCAAATTAAAGTCTGAAATGTGTGTTTATGTTCATCCCCATTTTGTCAACGATTTGTAAGGATATCCTTTGCTTGTCTTTTGACATCTAGATATGGACATTTTTGCCTGTTAACTTGCAAAATAGTTCAAGCAGAGTCGGACTGGACAGGGATCTTCTGTGAGCATCAATTTTAAACCCTCCCAATCCAGATTCACAGCTGGATTTATGTCTGGGCTTTGACTTGTTTGTTTACATCTGGGTCATCAGTTTCCACATTCTTGCTGCATCTTAAATGCCTTTTTATCCCCCCACACTTTAAGCAGGATTTCTTATAGCTTTTCTTTTTGTCCCTCAGCCAGAAAGATTGTAATTGTAGAGATTTGAGAAGCTGACTAAAACTTAGGAAGTTAAAAGTTTCCCCCGCTTGAGTTTATGATCACTCTTGGCTGCTTCCCTGGTTCTTCTACAGACCTATTTGTATAAAAGACTAAACCTTGTTAACATGTAAGCTATTTGACGCACTTTGATCGTCATGTAATCCATTTTATGGTATTGCATAAGTTTCCAAAGAATGCAAAAAAGACTAAACAAATTATGCACATTTAAGTGCAACAACATTTGTAGTTTATCTTGTACAGTTTATGGGAAGTCCTACCTCAAATTATTTGATTTTATCGACACGTGCTTGCAAATTGATCTCTGTACTTGTTTGTGTCCAAGAGCTACGTTTGATATCAAACCTTGTAAATATAGAAAAACCGTTCTAAAAGGACATAGTAATGTATCTTTTTACATGCAGAGTGAATAAACAAAACAAAGGATCATAAAAGTATAACTTTACCTGTTTGTTTTTTAATAAAGAACGCAATACTGGGTTTGACCAACAGAGGGCAGTCTGTGCTTACGGCAAACATTGCGAACTATGAACCTTGAATGTGTTATGACCACTGCATCATTGCGGACACCTGGAAGACTGCATCGTAAATGAGGTCATATAATGTGTTGATAGTCAAATATTTTAGTGCCTGGCCCAGCTGAGGGACACTGTATGAATAATGGCCGTGTTTGACACCGGCATAATAGCGGATCATCACTATTCGAGCAACAGAAAGGGACGCTGCAGGCAGGTGTAAGCGCATTGATCAAAGTGTCATCGGGACATCTAATAGAACAAAGTAAAACTCTGTTCCACTTCAGTGAATTTAAAGAGCCTCGACTTGGCCTTTCTTTGCTACCCAGACTCCCCTGGGCAAACATGCCCAGAGATCCAGCAGCCTCATTACTCTTTAGACAAACAGATTTGGACATATTGAACTCAGACCCAAAACAACCGGGCTGTGTGCCGCCACTTTCCACTCTCCACTCTCCGGGCTCTATGTGTGATAGGAGGGTGTTTGTCTCTCTCACTCTCTGGCTGTCTGTTTGCCTGACACTTGTCTGGCTTGGCCTACTTTCGTCTTGATCTCATCAGTCAGTGTGAAGACCTGCGAAGGCCATCTCCCCCATCTTGCTCTGTGAATCCCCCCACCCCGCCAGCTCCGGTGCCTGTGTCAGCAGTTAAGGACTGACTCAAAAGCCCACGCAGTCTCCAGTGTTTGCTCCAGGGCCCACTAGGCAAAGGCAGCACTTCTCCTTCAATTCAGCAGACAGGCTCGTTTGCATGCTCATAAATCACTCAGAAAATCTGACACTGAGCCACGCACTAAGACTCGCCACAGTTGGGAAACTCAAAGAGCCTTTTTTTTCCCTCTTTACATTATGACAAAAATACTCTAATCAAGGAAAATCATTCATATAATCCGACAGAGCCAGTGCCCTTCAAGACAGTTATTCTCAAGCCTTTTCTGCAAGTACTACCTCGCTAAAGGCAAAGGACTCATTACTCTAACATTCAGGCAGGTATGTTAAACTGGTAACACAGCATGACTTGTCATTTTTCCTAATTCTTGTGTTGCTGCGGCATGGATTTAATTTCTACTTAGAGCTTACATTTTTTTTATTTTTGTCTTTCAAGGTAAAACCCTGGACAGGAAGTCCTGTTTATTAAAAATTCCAGGTGTTTTAGTTTCTCATCAATCCCAAAATCAAACCTCAATATGGCCGCTGTACACGTAAACCACAGCAGTGACTGTAGTGGTAAACTGTCACTAGCGTGGTTGCTAAAATCCTTTTTAACACACAACCTATGTTAGTGTTTGAACACATACATTAAAAGGAAATAACAGTTTTTAGCTATTACTGCTGATAGAAGTTAGCTTGTCACTGAGCCCGGTAATTAGCACGTCCCCTCCGTCCTCAAGCTTTTTATTACCCGTTTACACGCCAATAAATCACTCAAAAATCTGACGTGTCACAGTTTGAAAACTCACGGTGCCAGTTTTTACTATTATGAAAAAAAAAAAAAAACTTTAACTGGGGAAAATCATTCATATAATCCTACAGAGTCAGTGTGCTTTAATCCTGTTGTTCTCAAATCCTTTGTGACATGTTCTCCACCAAAGAAATATGCTACATTATCACAGTTTATGGTGGTGATATAGCAAATGGTTGAAATATCTGCCACTCTATTACAGCACAACTTAAAAATGTTCAATTATTTTTTTAAAGGCTTAGCTGTATTATATTTTCACTCAACTGTCAAGTTCCAAGTTGAAACATTAAATAAGATTTTCTTCAAACTCAGCTGTCAACGTTAAATGGACGCCAAAGGTAAAATCCAGTATGGCCACTGTAGGTTTAAATATAGCACTAGCTGCAGTTCTTAGCTGTTATTTAATTTTTTTTTTTTTATGATTTGGATACATTTAGTCTTTTCTACAAATAGTACAAGACAAGCTTTGTAATGAGACTGTTGCTTTAGTACAGAAAATGTGTGAGAAATTCACTCTTATTATTAGCTATCATTGCTAATAGCACTTAACTTGTCAGTAATCCAAGATACTGACATTGGTTTTCTACTTGCAAGTGGAATACAGTTAAATTAAAGTTTGGCTTCATTTCCAAATCTATGTTTGAGCACATGAGGTAAAGTGAGGAGCCACCAGCTCCGGTTCCTTGTTTACTGTTGTCAACATTTTACTGGCGCTTGTGTTTTTTTCTAGCTCCTGTTTAAAGTAAACATCGGTGTGCTTCAACAACTAATCATTTTGGTCGCATTTTACTTCTGTTTTTCCCTTATAAGCGGTTTGAATCAGAATTTACTCTAAGGTTACCAAGTCCCACCAGTGGAACTTGTACCAAGGAACCTCGTTTTGGTATGTTTTTTGTTTGTTTTTCTTTTTAGCAGTAGCAACAATCAAAAATGTGGTCATGAGCACACAATTTTTAATCCCACTTTTTGTTCTTTGCGCCTTGAGTTTGCCACAAATCTCTGAAAAATCAGACTACAAATGACGTGAACATATGGCTCATTCAAAGCCCGTTAAGTGTTCACAGCTTATAAAAACTGAAGAGCTCCAAAATTATAGCTACTCCTTCTGATTAACGATTCAGCAATCGAGGTACAGAGCACACACACATGATTTGCGTTATTCAGACTGCTAAACCTTCTCTTGTGAGGACACAGGCACATGGGGCTATGTGAAATGTAAATGAATGAAGACGGTTGGTTTGGAAAAGTATTTTTAAAACCAAACAGTTTCCCCCAGAACTGCATTAATCAGCACTGATTTATTTGGAATAAGAGCGGTGTGTGTGTGTATGCTCCTTGTTTACGTACCAAGAAAAGTGCAATTAACATCATTACATCCAGTCACCTAAAATACAACATATGTGTATAGTTTATAGTGACAGCTAATTTCCCATTACTGTCAGTTTGTTTTAAAGCGAGCCGACGCTGAGGCTTCTGTTGCTGCCACAACAACAAAATGGAAACTTGCTGGATGATTCAGACAAGATCACCGTGTGACAACCGTTATGTCTTCCCTTGCAAAGCTGAAAGACCTCGCTGTCAGCAGCCTCCACTGGCAACTGGTTTATATCCATCCAGAGCAATACACACCAGAGAGCTGTCCAGAGTGATTCCTGTTGATTATCCCGGAGTACCATGAGATTGTTTCTGGATAGACACAGACCGTCTCTGGAGTGTATTTTTCTATGCTAGTTACTAGAGGCTGTGGGAATGAGTAGCAAAATATCCGAGGTCATGACCTCAATCTGGCAAGTGGAGAAAGTAGCACAAGGACCTGACGTGGAACTTTTACTCTGTTGCTCAATAATAATCTTGACTAATCTATTTGTATTCTAATGGAAACAGAAATGCATGATGGTCATCAGGATGTTAATAAAATCTTGGCTTATTCAAAAAGCAAAATATGAGAGACGGAAATAAATACTAGTCAGTGCTACACTATTTCATAAGCACAATCCAATGCCTCCATTAACCTTTTTTTGTGTTTGCATCCAACATTTTGACATGAGGATAAAAAAACATAAGTGGGATAATTAGAGTTTTGAGAGCTCAGTTTCAATCAGCCTCTTTAGATTTATGTTTGCAAAGCCTTGTGTTTATGGACACTGCTAATTGTAAAAATTTACTGCTATGCTTAAATCTGTGTAGTCTGCATATATTTATCAACATCAACATGGCTTTCAAATTTCCCTGTACTTGATGAGACTTTGTTGGAGAGACTCTGAAGTGGTGCAATGAAAGGGTTTGTAATACGCAAAGCTCGGATTTATTTACTCAAATGAAAATAAACTACCTGCAAGACAGCACTTTTAAACTTTTAATTTTCTCAAACGTTGGGTTGTTCAGCTCAGAATACAAAATATACAAAAAAATTCACCCATATACGCATAGGGCATAAATAAATCAATTTCCAATACAGTGTGTACATGACACAGACTTGATTGTGTAGACTATTTGTCTTGTGAAATGGTTTGAGATGACTTGTTTGCGTTTGCAAAAATAACCTGAGCTGAAGTTAATGTTTACACTGACTTCTTAGCAAACTTGCGAATATAAAGCCTGCTGCTTGATGTAGCGTTCGCACTCCCACTGTGACGTAAAGACCGTTTATCCAGCTGGAGCCAATCACTGTTGAGCTGAACATAGATATGACATCGATGCATAATCATAGTGTACTGAAAAAAAGACACGCAACCAACCCCGTTTGAAGTTAGTTAGACCACAGTGGAAAAATAATTAGGATTATTTGAGGAGATACAAAACAAAAAAAAATTAAATAAAAGATGACAGGAAAGGACTCCAGATATACCCAAATTTGCCACTCTGACTCTAAATAACCTAAAATAATCTTTTCCGAACAGACAAGACCTTCTGATCGTGTAAAAGGGAGCTTCTGGTCAGGAGAGAACCAAAAGGACAACACCCAGTAGAGCAGATTGTAAATTTAGCTTGCTCATCCACTGTACACACAGTAAAGGGTTAAGGTTCGGTCTATATCGGATTCAAACAAGGTTTGTCCAAAAGATTAAAGCGATCTCTCAAACAGTTTTAATTTGTCACACCAGATACTTGAATATCTTTCGCATTTTTCATTCGTTTTTTTTTTTTTCTTCTAACTTCATAAAGCTTTCACACTGGATTGACTAAAAATTATACAACAGCGCACCGGACACTGGCACCGCCAGCTGAAGTGTGGAGGTTAAGTAAAAGCTATTACTTTTCATAATGAATATTAGGCTTTATTGCTTGAAGTGACCTGGAAACGCCCCCACAGAAAGCTGAATCCGGTGCCACACTTTGGGAGCCACAGCGCAGGGCTTGCCTGCCTCCGTACCGCTGCCTTTCCCTACCCGCGGAAGTATTTTCTATGTGCGTGTCGGAGAGCAGGAGACACAACTTGTAGCCTTCTCCTTGTTTCCTCCACACACAGCGGCTTCGCCTTCAGCGTGCATTGGAGTAAAGGAGAGGGGGACACTTCTTTCCCGTTGTCGCTGTCGTCTGTTCTCCTCCTGCGCGCTTCCCTCTCTCCCTCCCTTCCCGCCTGCCTGCCTGCTTGCTTGGCTCCCTCCTCGTCCTCCCTCCGTTTTGTTCGCAAACCTCCGGAGCTCCAGAAGGCGATGAGGGTCGGGACGAGTGCGTGAGAGTCGCATCCCACAGGTGTGTTGCCGCCAATGCAAACGGTGCCTCTAGGCTCTGGTCAGAGGCACGCGCGCGCATACCTGGAAATTACCATGTGACTCTGCACCTGGGCGTGGAGAAAGTCCTCTTATTCCAACCGGAGACTCTTTTGTTGAGGAGTTGACCGCGCCGTCTCCAAACAGCAGCGACTGTTCGGTCAGACAGCGTGACCCGGGTTTTGGTTCCTCTCCCCCACCCCCTCTTTCCAGCGGAATAGTGCCTTTTCCCCCAGACCCACTCACAGGACGCGAGACGAGATGTAAAACTTCCTTACGGACATTTCTCTAAATAAAAGTCGCCAGATTTCGTTAGAGGGATTCTTCGCTTGGCTCTTTGGACTGTTTGCGTTTGTGGAACTACTCCGCTCTTTCACCTTCAAGGTGAGTTCCGACAAAAGCTCGTCAGTGCTGCTGTTTTCATCCCATTTTGACTTTGTATGAATTCCTGTCTCTGTGAAGTGAGGGCGTGAAGACACATTTAATGCCAGTTAGCATTAGGAGACAGGGAAACCCAGGAATGTCGTTTCACTTCAAAGACCCCCTCTACTCGGTTTTACTGCCGTCTCAAAAGTGGCTTCGGATCAGTTCGCACCTTTGCCTTTTCGTACCAGTGTACAAATCATTTCGTACCCATGTTCTTGATCGCTGCGTATCACTTACTACTTATTGGTTTTGTAATTTTTTTTGTGGAAATAAATATTCACAAGTACTAAGCTGTCTCATATAGTGAAATTAAATGCATGTTAGTTTCTGAAGATATTAACTATCTCAACATAATTAAAAAATAAACAACCCCACCTTTCTCGAGGACCATTATTACTGGCTGTAACATTAATGCATTCCTACAACTACATTGCATCCATTGTCGTCTTCGCTGTCAGTCCCCAGGGTCTACCCCAAATGCTCTCTTGGAATTGACAGCTTTGGTCAGTGTTACAGAAGTTTTAAAAGTAAGTTTGTTTATCGAGTCTTGTGGATTCTTTGCCAGCTCTTGTCAGCTGTAAGCCAAAATGACTGTTTTGATGAAGGCAGGCAGCTGTGGGGTGAGGGTTTAAAAAGCAAAACGTTGCAGATGCAGACACATTCAGAGGATAAATTCCTGACCTCGGACCAGAAACTTCTTGCCAAAAAGGTTGAAGTCGTCAATAGCTCCCTGAGGACATATGTACCCAGGGTTAAATAAGTTCAGTGAATGTTGTTCTGATGAATTTGCAGACAAAATAGAATGTAGAAAGCCAATAAAACATTTTCAGAGATTGTTTTCCAGTCTACGGCTTACATCAGGGAGCTCTTTGATTGGGTCACCGGTTGTGCTTCTAGACCTTGTGAAATACGAGATTACGACCCCTGAACAAACTAAAATGACCCCCTGATGATGTATAGTATCCGTCATAGTCAAATAACTACAGTTCTGTCCTGTTGATTATAAACAGATTATAGAGATTTACGAGCAATCATCAGTTGTCAAAGAGTGTATAAAACAATCCTGGGGTATGACAAATTAGAAATACCCACATGTTGTAGAAAACTGAGGTATGAAAAGACCAAAACTGTAAGTGTGAAACAACTAAATGGGCAATGTGACTATCATCCCTTCAAGGCTCAAGTCCTACAGGCAGTAGTCTGTTTTATGACTGCAAAAAACCTTGTGAAAACAAGCATGCCTTGTTCCCATCCTTACCTTGAAATGCACCAGTAACGTCGTGCTGCATACCTAAATGTTTTTTTTTTTAAAGTCCTTTTGTGCCCAAGTAATGAGCTGTGTCATTGTAGTTCTTCACAGTTGCACTCATGACTGTTTGGGTGAAAACTTGTTCAACTGTTCTCAGACTCAACAGCTGATTGATGGTAGAAGGAGAGGGAATAAAGGTCCCAGAAGACATGTGCTTCCCTAAAACCATTCATTTAACGTCAGATGCACTACAGCCGCGGCATCTGCCCAGTCACCTCACAAGGGGCTATCTGTCCCTACGCGATCGGCAATTTCTGTGAGAAATGGGCACGTGAGCCGCGTTCCTCACCTCTGGACAGTCGAGCCGTACATCAGCATCCGAGAGCACAGACGTAGTAGAGAGCCATGCCTCATGTTTGCTTTTTCTCCTTACTCTGTATCCGCTCTGTCTTGTCTCTCTTGTGGAGTACAAGGGAACAGAGGCACTATTGATGTCCCTGTTGAATCTCAAATGCTGTTCTTGCCAGTCTGTATCTCTCAGTCCCTGGCGCAGCCCTCAGAAAACCACTGTACTGCCTTGTTGCCCTGTTTAAATCATCTTTTTTTTTACCATCATCCACACCCCTGCTCCTCTAGACATGCCTACTGTACGCGGGATGATCTACCTCCTGGAGATTATTCCAATTAAATAACTTCATGCAAACAGTCTCGTAGTGGGAATGGATTAGCGCAGGAAGGGGTTGTGTGAAAGCCGGAAAGGTGGCTGCTGGTGTCTGGAAGGGGGTTCGAGCAGGGGGTCAGCCTCCAGTTTCTTCCCTGCACCGGGAGAGATGCCATCTGGTCACACAGAGACGAACGCAAGCAGTTTCAAAAAGTAACCCCGCTCTCCCCTCTCCCCCGCCTCTGTTTAGTGTGTCTTTCTCTTTCTCCGTGCCCCACAATGCTTCATTCAGTGTTTATCTCTTCTGCTCTGAATAAATAGAGACACCTTATCTGTGCAGAGGAGAGTGTGATAAATGTTTTCTCCTGCTTCCCCACAAGGGTGAAGAAGACGGGCGTACCACACTGCTTCATCATAGACGCTCTTTTCAGGACAGGGGAATGGGAGACGTTTCTCATTCAGGTCATGCAAGGGGTTTCAGGAGTCTGCGAAACAATTCCCAAAGCACAGACTCATACCCTTTTAATGCAAGGGAAACGGGGAAAACAAATCGAGCATTTCTGAGTTTTCCTCGCCTTCATACCTCTCTCCCTTTGAGTAAAAGACTGCTGGATCTGGAATTAAACTTTCAGGTGAAATGTAGCATGGAGTAGCTTACAAAAGTTCTCGTGCCAGGTGTATGTTTTCAGATTTGCTGTGTTTTTATATTTTAGTGGGATGTAATGTTAAAGATCAAAGGAAAGTGTTGCTTTATTTTGAAGCAACATTGTGTCTTTTGCCCATTTTTTCTTGCAAAGCATTTCACGGTCAGTCAAATAAGGTCTGCAAATTGCAATTATTTCTTGACCCAGATTCTGTATTGTCACTCTTCAAAGAAGCCCAGATTTGTGGAGAGCAGAACATATAGTTGTAACATCAACAGATTGTCCTGCTTTAACATCGGATCTCTGCAGCTCCTCCAGAGTTACCAACGGCCTCCTTGTTTGGCCTATCAGTATGCTACAGAGAGAGGTCAGGTCTAGGAAGGTTTGCTTTTTTGCCACACTCCTCTTTTATTTCAGATGATACTGTTTGTAAACCAATATTCTGTTACAAACCTCTTTCGGATTCACAGAACAGCTGTATTTATACTGATTACATGAGACACTGGACTAGATGCATAAACTGGGTTGTACTTATCAAATAGGTGATTTTTAAAAAAGTTGTTTTAGGGGCATTCAGTTATGCTCAATTTTATTTAGGGTGTCTGAGTAAAGAGGGCTCAGTGCAAATCACATCAGACTGTTCAAGTTTTATTGGAAGCCATGTATAATATTCCTTATACTTTATTATTAAGCGCTACTCTGCGTTGAAGATTGTAGTTGTAATATGAGCAAAATGTAAAATGTTCCTGGGGCTATAAAGACTTTTTTTTCCCCCAAGGCACTGTAACTGCCGTTAGATTACTTATGAACGGATGTATTTTATTTCTTTACTATACATCAAAGGTTGCTTAGATGCTGTCTTTTCTTACGGGATTTGGAGTGGGCTAAAGTTTTAAATTCTTTCGTCTCTGTTCTTTTCCCACCGAGTGTAAACTGTCTCCTGAATGCTTGTGGCCTATTCTGTGACTTGGTAGCATTTTTTTTTTTGAGGTCAGATGAATTCATACTCATCCATTCTCTTTTGTTTCCCTTGCCACGGATTACAGACTCCTGTCATTTTCATTTGGAAAATAAAGCCTTAATCCTCATAAACAACAAGCAATCCCTTCCCTCCTGTCCATTGCACACACGCAGGAACAAAGCACTGGACAAGCAGAGACATGACAAGCGTTTCCATCATTGTTGAGGGCCACTGGTTCTTTTTCCACTGCTAGATAAGCCTCCCTTTATGGTCCTTTCTAGTCATTATAATCTAAATTATTACTGCGTTGCTTTACCTTTTTAGATCTAATTCACAATATTGTTTGGTAATTCCCCCCTCTGTAAAGCAGACTTTATACATTCACTGAGCATAAAAGAGGTGTGGCGCAAACTAGATGTGCATGTGTGCTACCTTGTTCCTCTTGCTTTCCTTATGTACACATTGCTTTCAAGGGAGTGTGGACATATGCTTGAAGGGTGTGTCAGCCTGGCATTAGGCTGCTGAAAGATGGGGAGGGGAATTAAGATTTCCTTTAAATTGGAGATAGACCCGTCTTTTCATGTCTAAGGATTATCCGGTGGTGAAGGAGGCGCCACGCTGAGGTGGATTTCTGATCTCATCTCCGCTGGGTTTTACTGCTGCCACCCTTGCCCTTGGAAATGAAGGCCTTGTCCCGAACTGTCCCTTAAGAGTGTTTTTTTTTTTTTTTTTTTTTTTACAGCTGCCTCTCATTCTGATGCGATGTATGCACTTCACACAGCTAAACACGCGCTACTCTTTCCACTCAGCACGTTTCCTGTCCTCTCATGCACTTGAGATCAGAGTAAACAAAGCAGATGTACGACGGATCTCGGAGTTGTGATTGTGTTAATTCTCATCTCAAGTCCCCCAGCGCCAGGCTGTGAATTTGGCTTTGTGACAGAGGAGCCTGGCACTTAAGCGCCAAACATCAGCAGGTGAAGTTCACTTTTAAGGTCCAGCAGCCTTTGCAGCTGAAGGGTCAAACGCAGCTCAATGTGTTTTACTTTTGCTGCTGAAACGACCTTGGCACTTTCACAACTCAAGCTGTGTTTTATCCCCATGTCCACCAGCAACCACACAGCTCAGTCAACCGTCAACTCACGGTGGTTTTTCTTGGTTTCCCCTTCCCCCACCTTTGAGCTGTAGTTACTCCTCCTTCCCCTGTTGGAGCATGAGTAAGAGAAACGTAATGAATCTTGAAAATACCTTTCTGAAAAAGCCAAATGAGTCACCTGGGGCAAGAGCTGCTTTAATTGGTTAGTTGAAGAGCCCTGGGTCAGGATGTTTTACAGGAGTTCTGTTGGGGGGAGGGAGGGAACAAACTTCTTTAAAACGAAAGACTGAACAGAAGCATTTGTGTGGTGTGTTTATGACAAAATGACCTTAGAGACTCTCTAGTTA